GGAATCGAACTCATACGGAAGTGGCTTCAGATTCTCAGTGCTGTGCTTTAACCCGCTGCGCCACCAGGGAGGGCCCAGATTGATTTTTTAAGGCAAAATCCAATATGAGAATTATTTCCATTACAGAGGTTCAGAATGTTGTTTTCTCCTCTCCCCCCCCCGCCCCCCCGGAGATGATGGATAAAATTCTTTTTTCATTATCCTCCCCTGCTTCCCCCCCCCCCACTACTGTGAGATCTACTTTTGAAATCAGGAGATTGGAGGGAAAAAAATAGAATGAAAAGATAAATAACAAGTTGCATTAGGAAGCATAATAATAAAGAAGTCTTTTATGAGTTGATGGCTCTATAAAAATAAATGTGAAACCTAAAGTTTGTTTAGTGCCCTCTTTATATCTGTTATAAATCATGTCTTATGTGTCTTGTCAGTGGCTGTATGTCTTTCTGTCAAGTTCTTTTCATATTGAGCTATCTTTCTGTCTAGCTATTTAGCTACCTAGTTACCTTTCATTTGTCTATTTATTTACAACCTGCCATATTCAAAAAGGAGCACACACTGAACAAAACAGTTTAAAAATAAATAGAATAAACAATATGGTGAATAGAAAAAGATGGAATAATTTCAAGCTATCAAATTACAAAAAACCTGCCTGGCTCTGGGCAAGCTTTGAATTCAACTCTGAGATTTGAGATTTCCTATGTCCAGAGGGGTGGGGGTGGGAGGGAGGAAAAGGCTGTAAGAATCACATTATTTATAAGATAAATGGAAACCATATGTTCAGGAAGAGTAAAACATTTTCTGGCTCTTAAACATAAGTGAAAGTTCTTCTTTATGAGGAGGTAAGGTGGACAGCAGCCTCAAATACATCATTTCAGTAATAAAGTGATTTTCTCATGGCTTTCCCTCTTATTCAAGTTAGAGCCAAAACACCAAAGTCCATTCAGTAAAAAATGATTATGTGGTGGCAAAACAGTGCAGTGGAAGAACACAGTTCTGTCCTGCTTGTAGGATGCCAGGTTAAGATCAAGATACAGGGACATAAGACGTGACACCTTCTGGGTCCTCCAGCAGACACTACTAATTAGTCATGGCTTTCCTTCTTTCTTCCTTTAAGATTTATTTATTTATGCATACAAGAACTGTGGTATAGGCCAGAGGTAGTGTGGGGGGCAGGGTGAGAGAATTCACCAGGGACAGAGTGGGCTGCAGAACAGGCAAATATACTGAAATACACTGCTAAGGGAACAGCAGGTCAGAGAGGTCTCTGTATCATGTGGGTCATCTCCCCGGCAGGGAATTGAACTCATTCTGCAGTGACTGCAGACTGCTTCATAGTGCTGTGCTTTAACCCATTGCACCACTAGTGAGGCCCCGATGGTGTTCTTCCTTAATGAATTTGGATACATCCTCAGTGTCCTCAAGTAGCTGTTAAAAATGAGGCTTGAATACAAGTCCTCTTTGTCAACTTGGGAATTCTAGAGGGAAAAAGTAGCCTTTGACAGTTTTCAATCATGTCTTTGCTAAAAGGTAGTTCAATACTCATACACTGGGAAGAGGAAGATTGTAGATATTTAAAATTTCTATTATCACCTAAGTTATATAAAATTCAGTTGGACAAAAGGTAGAAATGATACCTTTTTATGAGTACTAACAAGTCTAACAGGAGTTCAATGAAAACACACCCCATACTCATAGAATAGAGATTTGGAGACAAAGTAAAATGACCATGTTGTCACTGGTATGACAACAGAATTTGTTGTCAGAATTTCTGTTCAAAAGAAGTCAGAGATGGTAGGGCTGGTTGTACACTCTGAATGCATTCAAGTCACTGAATTGTATAGTTTAAATGGGTATCTTGAAAGGTATGTAAATTATATCTCAGTAAAGCTGTTAGAGAAGGAAGTCAAGATTTGACTGTTTAAAAATTATTTCCTCATTTCTTCTGGAAAAACATAGGCTATCATGTTCTTTAGGCTTCCCATGTAAGTTCAGATTTGTGAATCACTATATTAAGAAAAGTGCCATATGACTGTTATGTGATTACGTGGTACAAATTTGGCAAAGTATGTGAATAAATAATTCTTCTTAACTCTTCCTATTTGTAGTATCTTGCTTTTATTTATAGTTCATACATCTTTTAACTAATTTATTCAAACAATTTTTGAATAAAGAGCCTGAAGTAATCTCTAATACCCAGTTATTTATTAAAAGCCCAAATAGACCTTTTCAAAGGGTTCAAAATTATTTTTTATGTATGCTTTTCTTTCTCTGTCACTACTAATTACCAACACATTGGATTTCCCATTGTGTTTTATGCATAGGAGAAAAACTGTCTCTTAAAAATGTATCTTAATATGAAGGTATTCACTGTTTTCAGAATATATCCTGGAAAAGGAGGAAATTAACTTGTTATAAAAGTTGTGCGAGGCTTTTCAGAGGAAAAAGGTTGTGGAAAGAACTGGGCCTGCTTATCCTAATTTTTTCCTTTTTCACTTAGGAACAAATTATGCATTGAGTTGAATATGCGTTTTGCTTGGAATGCCTCTTTTAAGCTTTGACCTCTCCTCCAAGGAGTTTGTTGTCAGGATTGTCTGGGAGCAATCTCATGCTTTATCATCCTCCTTTGGAGGTTAACAAGCAGAAGATAGCTTAAAGTCAATCAGAACCGTTTCTTTTTAACAGCTTTATTGAGATAATTCACATATCATATAGTTTATACAATTGAAGTATCCAATTCAGTAACTTTAAACAAATTCACAGGGTGAATACCATTCCAATTTATTGTCAGAGATTCCTTTGTCCCCAAAAGAAGCCCCATTAGCCATTTCCCCCTCCCTCCCCCCAACCTTGCCAGCTCTAGACAACCAGAAAGCTATTTTTGTCCTTATGGGTTTTCCGATTCTGGATATTTCATATAAATGGAATCATAATATGCAGCACAGTTCACTTTAGTATTTTAGGAAAATATAGAATATGTGCAAAAGCAACTACTCCTTTCATTTTGAAGTCTAAATTGTGGTTGATAAGCAGTTGGTGCCATTTAAATATAGAGTGAAAATAAGGTCACTGTAGGTAGAAAAATCTAATTTCGGTGCTATCTTTGGCTCTGTTTAGTTGTCTAGAGATCCTCTCTTTGTAAATGTTTGTGTCTTTCACCAGTGGGTGTCAGCATCAGACTACAGATGATTCCTTCTGGAGCTGCTTTTATAAATAACCTTGAAGATACTCTCCCAAGGTCAACATCAACACTGTTTTGAACCCTGAATTCATTTATGTCATCATCTCAGAGTCAAAACTTCAAATATCACAATTGCCATATGCGATTTTAGCCACCGGGGTAGATTTAAAAGATTAAAATATTATTATCTTTACTAAATTTGAGCTGTTATTTTTAAAACATTTACTTGAAATCACCCACTTTGAGAGTTATGATATAGCCTTATGTTCTAAAGACTTGAAAGAGCAGTGGATTGGAATTTTTGTCTAATCACATTTTAATGCCTTCTGCTGTCAAGTATAGAGATGTTAAGATGCTGTTCTTATTAACCTTGTCATATGATTAGCCATGTCACGGGTAATCAATTGCATTAGGCAATTAAATGCTGAAACATTAGTTTGTTTAGCAAGTTGTATGCGATGCTGACTACTTTCATTTCCCATTCTTGTTGTAGGCTATCTCCTAGGTAGTGAAGATTACTACTCCCACGAGCGCTGTACATTAATCAATGTTCTGAATGTCACTCGATGCGCTCTTGATTTTCGAGATGGTGAAGAAGTTGCAACAGGATATAAAAATATGTATTCAACAAACATATTTACCAAAAGGGCTACGGACCTCATAGCTCACCATCCACCTGAGAAAGTAAGTCTTGCCTTCTTCATTGACATCAAAATTGGGTTAAAATAGCATCTCTTCAGATGAATATAGGAAAGACCTCTGTTGTTTTAGAAAAAACAGGAAGAGTAGTTTCCAAATTTTAGAGTACATCAATATCAGCCTGGAAGCTTGGTAAAAATAGAAATTCCTGTAGTGTGGTACTAAGCATCTGATTCAATAGGTGTGGGGGAAATCCATATGTTGGCATTTTACAGAAGTTCTTTTATAAAAAAAAATTATTTACTTATGCACACAAGAACTGGGGTACAGGCCAGAGGTACAGGGGATGAGAGGATTCACCAGAGACAGAGTAGGGAGCAGAACAGACAGATTGACTGAAATAGACTGCTGAGGGGAGCAGTGGGTGAGACAGGAGAGGTCTGTTGCACCATGTGGGTCACCTCCCTGGCCTGGGATTGAACTCTCCATGTGGGTCAGCTCATGGCCATGGACTAAACTCATGCTTCATAGTGCTGAGACCTGACCCCTTGTGCCACCAGAGAGGGTCATTTTATACAAATTTTTGAAGGGTGATTTGCATGCAAGTGCTCCCTGCACTTGATTCCTGTGTGTACAGAATTTTAGTACAAATGTAATCATATTGGTGTATTATTTGCATGTTTTGTAAATTGTAATTCTGTGAAAGTTAGTAAATTTACTTTTAAACAATAGGCCACTTTGTAAGATGACACTTTCTCATTTCAAACTTTTTGTTCCGTGATTGATAGCTTTAGGGTCAGGGTGATCCTCTAACGTGGTCTTTTCCCCTCAAGATTATTTTGGTTATTCTACATATTTTACAATCCCTTGATAACACACACACACACACACACACAAAAGAAAACTTACTCAGTTATTTAAAAAAAGATGAACTCATACTACTTGAAACAACCTGGAAAGAATTGGAGGGAATAATGCTAAGAAAAATATATCCAAAAGAAAAAGACAAATGTTGCATGGTATTAACTGACATGTGGCATATAAGGAAATAAAACAAAGGAGCAGATAAAACCAAGCCAATAACAAGGCCCAGCAAACTGGCTATGGACTGTGGGGAGTGGGAGGTGGGAGTGGGGAGCAGGGTGAGAAGGGGGCACAGTGGACTATGGTGGAGAACTCTGGGTGCCTTGGTGGTGGGTGTGGCCTGAGGGTGTGTGATTCTGTGCCTCTCAATCATACGTAAACCAGTTACTTCAATTAAAAAATAGTCTCTGGGCTTAGCATATGAGTGCTGTCTTTCAATGGGGTCAAATATTGTGTTGTCAGACACTGGACTACAATGTCATTTCCTTCAAACTTCGTTAGCACTCCTATGAAATTCGTCCTTCACACATGGGACCCTGACATAGCAAATCACAGAAAGTGTCGTGTCTGGTTCTTTGAATCTCTTGCCTGTTGTCTCTTCAACAGCAACTAAAGGTCTTTAGTGCAGATCAGTGTAGAGTCCAGTTTATGTGCCTGTTCAGACTTGGTGGCTGCTGCCTCCCTTCTTGATGTGGTTGCTTTTGGCTCTGCCTTTGCCTAGTCTAACTCCTACTGCTCTTCCCTGGTATCTGTCTTTAGGTTTTGGCTTTTTATCACTCTTACCTATTTGCATTTTGGAGTAACCATGCTTGCTGTGGAACATGGAAGTAATTGGAGCATTCTTTCAGATATGTCAGCCTGTGCATATTTTGAAATTTAGACTTAAGCCAATATTTAAGATAATTGTTAGATCATTGGCTAAGTTCTCAGTTTTTTTGCTATTACTTGGCATGTGTGTGTGTATATATACATATAGCTAAAACATCAAAGAACAAGATAAAATGTTAAGGGAACTGCGTTCCTTGTCCTATCCTTTGAAGCGGGACTTGGTTAGAGAAGTTAAGTTAACTTGTTCAAGGTCATTGCTATTGAGAGTCAGAATGAGAATTTGAACCCACAATATTTGATTCCAGAGCTCAATGTAATTTAACAAATCTCCCTAGTTTGCAGCTAATATCCAAGACTTTAGGTAATAAGCCATAGCATGTGATTCAACTTGATGGTTCCAATCTTGATAGCATATTAGGATCATCTGGGAAACTTATAAAACGAACCAGTACCAAATCTTGTGATTTATTGTCTGTAGTGGAAATTAGCATTTAATTCCTCTCTGCCCCACCTCCCACCTGTGATTCTGATGTGTGGTTACTATTGACTCCCCTCAGAGGGGAAAACTGAGGCCAACTCACATTTTTTTAATGGGTTCACAATCTAACATTACTTAATTACACACTGACTGTCATACGCCTACAATAAAAATTAGTTCCTATTATGGAACAATAGAGTATTCTCTCACAGGGCCCATAATAGTAAGCGGATAAGAGGAAGCAGCTGGGGTGAAACAGTTCTTTGTGGGTGGGCTGCTTAGCTGGTTTGTGGGGAAAGCACAGGCACTGAGGAAAAGGAGGCCCCCAGAGTCCCCACACCATCTGAATTGTAGTTAGCAAGATGCTGTTCATGGATCACGTTACTGAAGTCAGATGAGAGTGCTGAAATATTCTGAAGCAGTACCCAGCATCCTCAACCTACTCAAAGTGGCTTCGTGGATAGATATCCATGAATGAAATAATTAGTAGGCAAGCAATAGTCCCAGAGAGATTAAGGCAGCAAATGCAGATATTTACATTTTCATTTCTCAGTAAAATGATGCATCACACAGTTCCAGGAGCTGCACTTACTTCCATTTTATCCTAGTGTTGAACATGATTTCTTGCTAATTTTTCAGGTGCTATATAGACTATAATATAGGCAACTTATTCTAATCATTTAAGAACTACCCTGGCAGTCTGCATAGCTAATTAAAAAGGTGCCCATTTAAAGAGCATTTGAGGGGAGAAAGCAGATGGAGCTATTTTGTAACAGAAGTATAGTTGGTGCTGGACTCAGGGAGATACTGCTAATAACTGCTGTGCTGTGTGTTGAGGAATCTTTTCTCTCTCCCTACGGGCTAATTCCCTTGGCACTAACACTGAAATGTGAGAGTATCATATTCATAAAATGTGTTAGTTAAAAATAGTTCCCCACAACACTTTGCAGAAGAAAAATAATTTTTTTTTGCATATACCTGAATCTGCTAGAAAGTTCTTAAAGTAAATGTGAATTTGTATACTCTTAATTTTCCCTGACACACTTTGGAAAGAAATGTCTTTTTTGAAAGTCAAAGATAGAATAATAATTTAAAGTATATCATATACTTTTTAAAATTTGTAGTTTGAGTTAGGAAAAATATACTGAAGTGATGAAAATAAGTCTTTCTCTCTCACTGAAATTAAGTTTCTTAGCATGGAGGATATTTAGAGTATCATAGGAGGCCTGTGATATATTAAGAAAGGGGCAGAAGTGTTTAGTGGAATCTTACTATTATGCTAACAAGTTTAGGTAACACCTAAACATTTGGGCATGATGCACAACTCCAACTCTGTTTTATATTCCTAAGAAACCTGAAAGACTTACAGTCAGTGTTGCCATGAAGGTAGCAGCTGATGAGACTACGTCAAACTAAAAAGCTTCTGTACAGTGAAAGAAATCATGGCTCAGATGACAAGACACCTACTGAATAGAAGAAGACATTTGCACACTGCACATGACAAAGGGCTAATATCTTCATAGTCTGGGGCAACACATAGAATTCCTATATGACTGGAGTAGAAAGTGTGTGTGTTAGAGGGGCCAATTCTTTTGGAATTGGAATTTGGAATGTTTCTCCATGGAGATAATATACAAATGAAGCATAGATGCTACATTATCATCATTTTTCACTTCCCCCACATCTTTACAGAAATAGGTTTTAAAGTGATAGCTCTGATATTTAATAGCTTTTTAAAAAATTGATTTTGGGCCCTCCCTGGTGGCGCAGCGGGTTAAAGCACAGCACTGAGAATCTAAAGCCGCTTGCGCATGAGTTCGATTCCCGCCTGCCCCGGAGGTGACCACATGGCGTGGCAGACCTCTCCTGACCCGCCCGCTGCTCCCCTCAGCAGTGTACTTCGTCGATCTGCCTGTTCTGCTCCCCACTCTGTCTCTGGTGAATCCTCTCACCCTCTGCATCTCTGGCCTGTACCCCAGTTCTGTATGAATAAATAAATAAATCTTTAAAAAAAATTGATTTTGGAGAAAAAGTGTTTTTAAGTTCCAAAGATCTGAACTACATCTTTTGGGTATCTGTTTGAGCTCCATATATAAACATTCCTTCATCCATCACAGAGATATAAAATATCTAATTTAAAACAATTATCAACAAAGATGAAATACGAGGCTCGCCTGTACCCAGTCTGTTTTCTGACTTTCCGCCAGTCATTTATGACATTTAAGTGCCTCAAATACTTTAACAGAATTATATGTTTGCTCTAGGATTGAACCAGTTGTCTTTTTGAGGGTTTTCAACTCATTAAAGAATGCTGTAGGAGCACCATGAGGAGATGCCTTCAGAAAGACTCATTGAGAAGGAGAGGCTGACCTGGAATACTACTAATGTTAAATTTAAATGTTAAATGTTAATTTTTGCATGGAGGTAATGTAGCACACTCCTTAGTTTTTAGAAACTAAACACACCTTGTGTTTGGTCTTATATCAAAGGCTATTATAATACATGGAATTCACCTGTTTTCTCATAAAAATATCAAAATCCTCTAACCTCCTAAAGAAGGAAAGTTATTTTTTCAGCTAAAACATCTTTTGGTACAGATTCACACTTTACAATCGGAAATTTCACAGTAGTTAATGTGAAATTAAGCAATTCATATAACCTTTCTAGGTCTCAGGAAATTTATCTTGTAAAGTGGATATACATAGGGTGGTGGCTTTGAGCATCAAATGAGCTAGAAAATATTCTGTCATATGCTGGTTATCATAGTATTATAGTACAATTAATTAGACAACATTAAATATATTGTTGCACTTAATGATTTTTTTTTTTATATCAGTTCCTATTAGGACATTTTGGGATTGTGGTCTTTATTTTTATTTATTTATTTTTTGTCTTTTGTTATATTTTAACATTTTTCTTGTGACATAAGTAAAAATCCACACATTTAAAGTATACAATTTAGTGTCTACTTCAGTTCACTACAGTATAAATTTAAAAAGAAACTTTGTCCCTATCAGTAGTCACTAGTCATTCCTTTCCCCCAACTCTCTACAGCTCCAGGCAACAACTAATCTACTTTCTGTCTCCGTAGATTCACTAACTCTGGACATTTCATATAAAGGGAATCATATAAAATGTCATCTTTTGTAATTGACTCCTTTCCTATAGCATAGTGGTTTTTTTTTTCAAGATTTGTCTCTATTGTATCATATGTTAATATTTTGTTCCTTTTTATTGTTGTATAATATTGTTGAAATTGTACCATATTTTCTTTATCAACTCATCAATTGGTAGGCACGTAGAAAGTTGTCACTTTTGAACTATTAGGGGCTATACTTCTATCCATGTACAAATTTTTATGTGGATATATGCTTGCATTTCTCTACAAATGGAAATGCTGGATCATATGGTAACTATATTTTACAATTTCAGAAGGGCTGTACCACTTTCCATTCTCACCAGCAATGTACGAGTATTCCGGTTTCTCTAAATACTCATGTATTATTTTCCATTTTTTACATTGTAACCACCCATGAGTGTGGTTGTGGTATCTCTGTCATTTGGATTTACTACTTCCCTAATAACTAATGATGCTGAGCATCTTTTGTGCTACTTGACCATCTTTCATTTTTATTGCATATTTTTGTTAGTGAACTAAAGATATTCAGATTCTTTGCTTGTTTGTAATGGGATTGTATTTTATTATTGAGTTGTAACAGTTTCTTATAGATTCTGGGTACAAGTCCATTATCAGATGTATGTTTTTTTTTTTTTAAAGATTTATTTATTTATGCACATAGAACTGGGGTACAGGCCAGAGGTGCAGGGGTGGCGAGAGGAATTCACCAGAGACATAGTGGGGAGCAGAACAGGCAGACCGAGGAAGTACACTGCTGAGGGGAGCAGCGGGTGGGTCAGGAGAGTTTTTCCATGCCATGTGGTCACCTCCGGGGCTGGGGATCCTACTCACACTGCAGTGGCTCCAGCTAGCTTGCAGTGCTGCGCTTTAACCTGCTGCGCCACCAGGGAGGGCCAGATGTATGATTTACAAGTATTTTCTAACCAATCTGTGGATTGTCTTGATAATACTTTTATTGACTGATACAAGTGGACTTATGTATATATACTCAGTGCTTCCATGCCCTCTTAACTAATTGCAAACTCTCTTTCCAGCCTCTTTTTCTCTACCTTGCTCTCCAGTCTGTCCATGAACCTCTTCAGGTACCTGAGGAGTACCTGAAGCCTTATGACTTTATCCAAGATAAGAACAGGCATTACTATGCAGGAATGGTGTCCATTATGGATGAAGCAGTGGGAAATGTCACCGCAGCCTTAAAAAGTCATGGACTCTGGAACAACACAGTGTTCATCTTCTCCACAGGTGAGTCTGTCAATAGAAAAATCATCTCTTGGCAAAGCCTGAGACATGGTATTCGATAAATGGAATGAAGACAAATTAGAGCATTTAGCTGTTTCTTAGTAAAATAAATGCTAACTGCAAGAGTGGAGACATGATAATAATGGATAGAAAAATGTCCCTAAGGGAAAAGAATTATGGGCCTTCCCCAGTTCTCTCAGACATCACAGTATTCTCGGAATATGCTTGAAAATAAGCATTTGTTCACTGAATAAATTCATAGGCAGGAACACTGGGCAGTGAATCTCTAGAGTGACTTGTTCTCAGCAGTTTCTGCAGTCCAGGCATCATCAGTGAATAGGAGTTCTGTGGCCAAAGGGGTCTCTGTATCTTTGCAGAAAGACAGATTGTGGCTTTAAGAAGACAGATAAGAAATGGTGACATTTAAATTTAGGTTAGAATCTCTTTTGTACAGATTTTTTTATACTAAGATTTTTTTGACAATAAAAGTCATACGTGCTGACTATGGAAAAAACAGATAAGGAAGAAAAAAGAAAAATTTTGAAAACTATTTTTATTGTTACAGGGCCATTCTGCTTTCTGATCTCTTATCTATGTGATTTACCTTCTTCCTTTGGACAGAGTTTTCTAAAATTTTCCTTTGATATTCCTTGTGTGTAAATCTTGGTTTATTCATTAAGCTGCTTACTCAGAGAGCATTTCCTATCTGAAAACAAAAATCTTTTTTTACAGAAAATTTTCTAATTTATTTCACAAGTGTTTGGCTCTCCACACACCTTTCTCCTATTCTCTCTCTCTGTAAAGAAAGAGAATTATAGGCCTCCCAGGTGGCCTAAAAGTTAAATCTCAGCAGTATCACTGCTATGACCAGAGTTCGATCCCCAGCCAGGGAGATAACTCACATGGCTCAGCAGATCTCTCCTGTCTTGTCTGCTGCTCCCCTTAGCAGTGTATTTCGTAGATCAACCTGCTCTGCTCCCCTCTCTATATCTGGTGAGTCCTCACACCCTGGACCTCTGGTCTGCATGCTGGTTCTATGCAAAAATAAATAAATAAAATATTTTTTAAAAATTAAAAAAAAAGAAGAATTAGCTATCTGTTCTCTAACTGCCTTAGTTAGTGTCTTTCATCACGTATTTTCTTCCACTGTTTGGGAAATCACCTTAACATTATTTTAGGACCTTTTTAAATGAATTCATTGCAATCACAATATTTTCAATTATCAAGACTTGTTTCTTATTTTCTCTGTGAAGTTCTGTGTTTACATTATGTGTAATAACTTACTTCTCTGGAGCCTGACCTGTAATTATTAATTGTGTGTGTGTGTGTAGGTATGTGTGTGTATGTAAATGCATTATATATGTTTGCTTAGACTCCCAACATGTCTCTCTTCCTCCTAAAGTCATTACTGTCATTATTTTCATCTGTCTTTCATGAAGATCCCAAGTGATCTTGACTAAAACTTTAAAAAAAATTGACTGGAAACTCTTAAGATGAGGTCAAGACTTGTCATCTGGTGAGCTTTACTTTAAAGTAACTATGTAAGGTACTTTTTTTAAAAGAGTAGTTTTTGTTTGTTTTTTGAAGATTTATTTATTTATGCATACAGAGCTGGGGTCCAGGCCAGAGGTGCAGGGCCATGAGAAGATTCACCAGAGACAGAGCGGGGAGCAGAACAGGCCAACTAATAAAGTATTACACTGCTGAGGGGAGCAGCAGGCGGGTCAGGAGAGGTCTGCCACACCATGTGGGTCACCTCCGTGACAGGCGGGGATCGAACGGGTGCTGAAGTGGCTTTAGTTTCTCAGTGCTGGGCTTTAACCCGCTGCGCCGGCAGGCAGGGCCCAAGAGTAGTTTTATTTTTAATTAGGCATGGTTGTTGAATCTAGTATTTATCAAGTTCTTACTATGTATAAGACATAGTTCCAAGTGCTTTACATGAATTAATTTAGTTAATTTTCTGGGCACTAATATTGTACCGTTTAACAGATGTGAGAACAAAAGTACAAAGAGGCTGAGTAATTTGCCTGTGGTCTTACACTCAGGCAGGCTTCAGCCTTTCTGGCTCCACTGCATATTCTGCCTCTGAGATGAAGACCTGGATGTTCATATTGGACCTCGTGACTTAGAAGCTCTTCCCATGGCACTGCCTTATTGATCTATTGAGATTTAGGCAGGGCTGGTTGACATCTACTCTGAGCAGCCTTGATCAATTGCTTCAGTGCTGTACAAGTACTATAAATTTCCTAGAATCCCCTGTTTTGAAAATGTTGACTATAAGATAACATTTTCCCCAAAACTCTTACCCTTTAGGAAAGAGTGAGGCATTTTATACTTAAGTCCTTACAGGAGCTCTCATATTCTTTCTCAATTTACTTTACTTTGAACATCTGGCAAAGTACTTTGATCAGTGCTGGTATTGAATGCTTATAGAAGTCACTAGAAAGAATCAATAAAAAGGTGACCAAGATATTTAATACTGATTTAGTAATTGTTCCTGGGAAATGTCGTCACAATTTCAAGAATTGGTAGTTAAAGGTTTATAAAACAAGCCATTGTTGTAGGGATCACATTTATATAAGGATAAATGATTTCCTGAAATGAAAGTATATGTGCAAAATGTATCATACTTAGACTGAAAAGTACTCTGACAGGAGTGAAGATGGTACTTTGGAAAGCTTAAGTATCTCAAAATGACTTTGTGACAGCAGCTGTGAAGCAACTATACATGGGAAGAAGTAAAATTTTTTTCGTGCTATATGAGGGTTGAATGAAAGCAGTGTTTTAAGATCAGTCTATCTCTTTAATTATATAATTTCAAATGTACATAGCTATATTTTAAATATATAGCTGACTATTATATATACATCCTATATTTAAATTTTCCAAAATAATTTTTGGACTTTCTCACAGAGACTGTATTCCCTTATAGTCATATTCTGACATTGTAACTTCTTAATATGTATATTAAGATTACACCATCTTTGTTTTATTTGGGAAAATCCAGTTTTATCATGTGTATGTATTTTTATTATACAGCTAAATTAAGTTTGATGGAGTTTAATTTGGAATTTTTGCATTAATTCAAAAATTAAAATGAGGGTTGGTAGTTTCTTTTTTCTCTATGAGGCTTTATTGTCTTGGTCATGTTTACTTCATAAAATAGTTGGGAATGGCTTTTCTATCTTTTCTATGCACTGGAACAGTTTACAGATTGTTTGAAATATCTCTCTGATTAAGGTAGTTCCTGGAATATTTTTGGAAACTATTTTTTTTTTAAATTAGTTCCATAGTTTAATTTTTTTTTTTTTGCTGAATTATATCTAGGTGTGGTATTTAAAATATTTAAAAATTAATATTGCCTAAGATGTAGTGACCCCTTCGATCTACATGCTGAAATTATTTTCCACTCTGGGAAGTTTTCCTTATTCATATTTTAGGTTATTGCTTCTGTTCTGCTTGATTTATTTTTCAAAGATATCTCTAATTAGTAGGTTGAGGTATTGAATTGACTTTCATCATTTCCAGGGCTTTTTTGTTCTTTTCCTCAGCCTTATGGAGTGCTTCTACATTACCAGTTAGATATTTTTACAATTCCATTTTTGCTTTTTAATATATGTACTGTAGACAATTATTGGTTGCATTTTTATTTTCTTTAAAGTCCTTTCTTTGCTTCCAGCAACAGTGCCTGTTTTGTTTTTTGTTTTTTTGTTTTGAGCTTGTTAATAATAATGATGATGATTGTTTATTAAATATAACTGCATGCTCAGGGCTTGGACAGAACTTTTCGTATGCTTTCTCATTATCATTAACATTGTCTACATTAAAACTCAAAGTAACCTTATGAAATAGGTTTTGTTATTCCTGTTTTATAAATGAGGAAGCTGAAACTTAGAGGCTAAGGCTAAGTGATTTGCCCAAATCCATTGCTTTGAATTGAATGTTTTCACCCAAAATTCAAATGTTGGCATCTTAATGACAGATGCTATGGGACTTCAGGGGTATTCAGTCATGAGGGTGGAGTGCTCATGGATGAGATTAATGATTTTATGAAAGAGACCTCAAAGCGTCCCCTCAACCCTTCCAACATGTGAAGACACAATGAGAACGGGGTCAGCGATGAACCAAGAAAAGTCCTCACCAGAAGGCTGTCAAGCTAATGCGGATTTTCCAGCCTCCAGACTATAAAAAAAAAAAAAAAAAAGTTGTTTATAGCCACCCAATCTGTGATATTTATAAGAGATATTTTGTTATAACAGCTCAGCTTGACTGAGAGAGTCACACATCTGACAAATGGAGGAGCAAGAACTGAAATCCATACTGACTTGAGGTCAATACCCATTAACGCTAGTCAATTGTGCTGTGTCATCTTTTCATCCTTCTGCAATTCTTTTCATAGAACCCATGCTTTCCCCAAACTTTTCTGAACAGAAAGTTTCCCTTCTATTGAAAATCATTACCAAGTTATTTACTCTTTTCTGAGAATGAATGAAGGAAGGAAGTTCTAGCCATACAGCGTGCACAGTCATTTCCCGACCTCAGGTCACTGCTCCCTGGTTAATTCTTTTTCAAACCTATAGCTCAACTCACACAGCTCACAGAGGTCTCTGGTCATTAAGTCTCCTCAATTACTGAACCAGATAGTTCCACTTGACATATTCTTCTGTTTTGGCTGCTACTTCTCTGATGGGCTGAAAGAACCCTTTCATGCAGTTATGATGCTTCTTATCCCTGTGTCTTCAGGGCTTTGACTTTTGGGGACGTTTTCCAGGGTAAAGCATATCCCAGGGCCAAACCCTTTTCTTCTCTTGTATGTCGTTTTCTGGGAATTGTAAGTTGAGGAGGTGATAGTTCTCTGGTTCTGTCTAAAATGAGCACCGTCCGCTTCTGGCTGCTTTCCTGCCTCTGTGGGATGAATCTGTGTCATGAGGCAAAGCAGCTATGCCAACCCTTGGCCCCTCAGCCTAGTTCCTTCAGTCTTCCAGCCTATGGAAATTGCTCCA